AGCATCTAAATTCAAACATCCGTACCTCTGCCCCAGAGTGATCCTAACCTGCTAATGGATAAAGAAATTGCAAGGTTCTGAGCTCAGACTTCCAATGGACACAATTGCTCAGTGTATGAAGAAAACAATGCCTACTGCAAGGAAAGTCTGTGATGTGGTGGCCGTGGCATACCCATTTCCCTGAATCTTCTATGTGTGCTGTGTATGTGTGTGTGTTGTGCATAAATGTGTGTATGGGGAAGGGGTGCACCCTTGCATGAGCATGTGGAAGCCGGAAAACTTAGGTGTCTTACTCAATTTCCATCTTAATCAATTTCCATCTTACTTAATCAATTTCCATCTTACTGCCTCAAAACAGGGTTTCTCACTGAACTGGAAACTCATTTTGGCTAAACTGGCTGGTCAGAAAGCTCTTAGGATCCACCTGCCTCTGCCTCTCAATGCTAGGGTTGGAAGCATACCCGGCTATATCCAGCTTTTTATGTGGGTGCTGGGGATTCAAACTCAGGTCCTCATACTTGCAATGTTAAGTGTTCTTTCCCACTGAACCACCCCCCTCCCCAGCCTGCCATTTTTCTGATCTCATGGCAATCCTGCTTAAGTGTCTTCACCTTCTTTTTTCCCAATGGGGAAACTGAGGCCCACAGAACTAGTGATTTGCTCAAGTATGTTAGGTTTCTATGATACTGCAAAATTTGTGGCTTAAAACAACACAAATTTTCCTTATAATTCCATAAGTTAGAAAAGTTTAGCACAGATCTCACTACACTAAAACCAAGGCATTCTTAGGGGTCTTTCTTCTGGAGGTCTAGAGGAGTCTGTTTCCTTGCCCTTTCTAATTTCTAGAGATGTCCACTGTTTCTTCCTTTTGGCTACTTCCTCTATCTTCAGGCTGTTCATGAGGCTTGATTCCTTTTCATGCTGCATCTTCTAGTCACATCTTTCTCTGTGACCACAGGCTTTCCACTCCCAAGGATTTGTATGATCAGACTGGGAGTAATGGGTGGGAAAGACAGTCACGGTGAAGAGTGAGTGGCTTTGGTGATGGGTAAGCAAGCAGAGTCCTTTGCCTACCCCTTACAAGTCCCAGGAAAGATCTCTCTTGAGAATGTGAGACACATGTAACCTGACCCTTTCAGCTTGGGTCCTGTTCTGCAGTGCCAGAAAAATCAGAAAAGTCTCAAGCACTAGGAAAGATACAAAAGTCAATAGGGAAGGCAGTTATGGTGGGATAAGAGGTTCAAGCTGAGCAGAGGAAGGCGTCATCCTCTGGTCAAAGAACAATTATACGTTGGCTAGATTTATTGAACTGGTAACAAAGCATCCTATTGGATGGGACTTTAATGTGATCTAAAATTTCATTTTTTCCCAAAATTTGTACTCATTTCTGATACTATTACATTTTATAGTATATTCTTACTTTTGTTTTCAAAATTTTGAAGATAATACATGTAAGTAGAAATAATGTATGTATACAGAAATTCAGAAAAGTTCTAGTAAGAACACAAAACGTAACCCACAGTTCTGTGGCTGAGGGACAAGTTAGTGGGAGATAGAATTCAGACAGGAGACCATTCAGGATTGCATCATAGAAGAAAAATCAATCCACATTCTGATTTTACTTTATCTTTTATGTTAGAAAGTTGTTTAATGAACACATTTGGGATAATGAGATTTCGAATGTGGAATCTGCCTAAAGCCATCAGGGCTGTGAGACAATCAAAAGGATATTTTCATCTCTCTTAGACTTGTAGATGTCTAAAATGATGACTGTGTGAGTGAGTAAAATGAGTCAAAGGAGGAGAAGGAACTTAGCATCATAACTAAAACTCTCAAGCCCTTGGAAAGAAAACATTAGCGGCTTTTACTGCTGTTTGCTGAGGAGCGTCTCAGAACTGACAACAGCAACTGTAGAAACTTTGTGCTGTGAGGGAGGCATTGGTTCTCTGGGCTCTGCATAAACTTACTGAGTCCTCATCACTCTCGTGGACTATACACAATCCTCCTCCCTTATTTAAAACTGGAGTCCAAAAAGGTGAAGCTGAACAGCTGGAGTTCCAAACCAGGAAATAGGCTTCATCCTTAGACTTGACTACTTCTGATATGTTTTCTTCAAAACACACAGAGAGAAGTTAAAACTCAGGTAATAAATTTATCCACAGAACTGCCCATCATACAGGAGGTGGCAGCAGAGGGTGTATTTAATGGTGTGGACTCTGAGCCATATAGGTTTGCACTATAGCTTTGGCAACAGGCCAGTGGCTCGCCTTAGGCAAGTTATACAACCTCTTTAAGATTTAACTTAAAATGGTTATGAAATGCCTACCTCATAGGGTTATTTGAGGGAACTAAATAAGATGACATTTCAAAAGTACTTGGCATGGTGTCTGTTTCCAAGGACTGATATTTATTATGATCCATGATAATCATTGTTCCACTAGAGACCAAGAGGCCCTGTGTTGTACCCAGCATGGGATAATACGGATCTCCTGTTAGGGGACATTCTACAACAGTGTATAGAGAAATGTCTAGGAGGTGACGGTAGAGAGGAGGTGTCCAAGAAAAGTTATGCACTCTTCACAAGTGGGCAAGAGGATATTTGTGTCTCAGACATTTGAGCAAGTGGTAGGGAAACATGTTGGGGAGGCAGAAGTGCTCACGAGGAGTCTGGGGTGCCCTTGGAATGCTGTGCTTGGAGAGCACTGGGATGGGGATGGGGAATGTGCAAGCTCAATGGATGCAGCGAACGAAGGTAAGTGCAGGTATTGCTTCTTCACTTTCTCTACAATCACTATACGAATCTAGGAAAAGCATAGAAACAGATGGAAAGGAAGACGTATGAGACTGGAGAGTCAGACAGAGTTCAAGAAGAGCAGACAGACAGCCTGGCCAGCAATTGTAAGGTAGAGTCAGCTTGCCTTACCCAATGTTGTAAAGGAGACCCATTTATTTTATAATTAGCACATGATAAGAGGAATGATTTCTTCCACCTTGGCATGAGATTCTGGAATGTCCAGTTACAACACTGGTATGCTATCAGAAGATTTCATTTCCTGAAACTTTCACTGCCGTGTCCCTGGTATGTCAGCTCTGTGACAGTCTGGAAAGGAGCAAAAGCCAGTACCTTTTTGATAACAATGAAATCCTTGGGTTTATATAATGTGACATGACTCGAGGGGCATTGTTTAGCTTTTGGCAGAGCTATGAATGCCTAGGGCAGAACACCAAAGGAAAAAGTCTACTTTGAAAGCTTTCTCAGAACAAATCTGAGGGAATTTGCTGGTTAATGCAAGTACATGTCCAAACAAGTACTGGTTTGACTAGGGAGTATGTGGTGCTGGCAAGCCTCATTTGGCGTGGAGAGAGTTGAGTAATGCTTTATTTTAATGAGGGATCTTGGGGGTCTATAATGAAGACTATGTGGTATTTCCCATGTGTCTCTTTTGAATGTGGGCTGATTATAGACTCAGTGGAAGAAAGGCGAATAGAAAGAACATAGTTCTTGAAACCTCTGGGGCTGTACAAGATAATTTAATAGTATATAAATAAATTCTCAGAATACACTAAAGTTCTCAAAGAGAAATTCCCTGTCCCTCAGGTAAGCACAAGCCTACCGAGTGGGTCAGGGGATGAGAGGTTGACTTTTTTAAGCTAAGGCAAAAGGCAGTTCCCGATAGCATTTATGAATGATTGTACAGTCTCCCTGTTTGATTCTTCTGAAAGTTAACTGTCTTTGAATATCAAGTTTGTATTTATAAAACATATAAATTCATTTCTAAGATACAACATTACTTATATTTTATCAGTGATCCTAATTGCTTGGACTTTTTCCTATCAGAAAAAGCCAATATGAAAACAAACGTTTCAAGTCCTTGTGAATGGACTTTCACTAGTTGGTAGGGTGGTAGAGGCAGAAGGGGTGAATTTCACTGTCCATTTATTCTGGGGTCTGTCATCTGGCTATTACTTAGACCTGGCCACATGGTGTGACCTCCTTATGGTCAATTTTCTTTCTTCTTAGGTCCAGGACATTATATGATTGTGCAAAGTCCTGTATTGACTGTACTTTATTTGATATATTAGGACGACTAGAGCAAAATGCTCCCTTGAGATGGGGCCTCCCAAAGGGCCCCAGGCTTTGGACAGGATTAGGAATAGTTGTGGGGAGTTTAGAAGAACATTATCCAGTGCTCCAAGTCTTAAAGAAGGGGATGGTGACCCAGAACTCTGGACAAGAGTCCCAAGAGGCAAAGATGCTGGTGGGAGGAACCTCCTCTGGGTGTGTTAATCTAGCAAAGACTTGGAATTATAAAGAGAAATCAAAGAATTCTCCATGTTAAGACAATTATATTGAAGCATTGAAAAATGATAAACAAAAAACTTATTGTGAAGTGAACTTGCCAGGCAAAAATTCTTATCAGGTAGACTTGCACCTTACTCTTTGAACATTAGTGTGTCCAACAGATCACATGGATATTTATTGTGGTTTAATTAGCCCAATATCCAAAACCAAATCAGCTAAATGCATTCTAATAGCTAATTCTGGAACAGGTTTTAAACAGATCCATAAGAATGTACATTTTCACTTGATTCTTATTAAGCTTTAAGAGGCCATTTCTTTTGTTTACATTTGTGTTTGTTGCAACTCCTCCACTCCCCCAACACAAACAACAACAAAAATCCCAAGCAAAAGAAAGACGCCTTTTAAGCTATAAAACTAGAGTCCAAGAAAAACATTTAGTTTGAAAATGAGTTGAAAAATGTAGTCTTGGAAGAACTACTGCTTACATGGATTGTTCAACAAATTCCTGCTGTGTGAGGTTTGGCATATATTTCTAAAAATATAAACATCTGGGGAAACAAGACAAAGCCCAGGTCTTGGACCAAATGAGGCACGCAGTGTGAATCTGTTAGTGATTATATCCATAATGCAGTATGTGCCCAAATTTGGCGGTGCAGAATCTAATTCACCCCGAAAGCCCAGCAAGTGTGGTCCTTACCATAGTATATAGCCCACAGAGAAGGTACATATGGCCGCGAGTCCACTGCTTCTGCTGGGATATTGATGGTGGGATGTCCTCATCTCAATTAATATAAAGGGCAAAACTGTTGTGTGCTGAAAAAGAACAGAGAAGGCTTGATTCCTATCATTGCCTTTTTTTATTGAGCTTTTTAAATTTTATACAACATTTCCCATTCAAATCCAGACCCCTTCTCCCATCTATATCTCTCCCTCTCCCCCCTACCAAAACCTATGCATTCTGCCATACATGCTGAGTCCTATTCATTCAGGTGTTTGTACCCAAGTGTCCTGCAGTGTAAATGTGTCTACTGGAGTCTAGTCAGCCCATCCAGTATGCAATTCATACTGTCCCTCACCCAGCAGCAATCAGTCTCAAATAGTTCCCAATCTAGTGCTGGCCCTCCATCTATTTCTCACCTCCCCTTTGGGCCCTTGTTTAATTGAGCTGACATGGGTCCTGTTCGACACCACTGCTGCCACAGGCTGATTGCCTATTTACAGTTGTTTTCTCTTCAGTCAGAGAAAGAATGGTGTAAATTGCCAAGAATGACCACATCAGACAGCAGTGTATGGCTCTCCCAAGGGGAAAAAGATATGAAAACACGTGTTACAGCAATTGCTCTGCTGTATATTTTCATCTGTATCTTAACTTTAAAAATTTTTATTTGATATCTATGGTGGGAAAATTTGCTAATGTAAAATGATAAAAAGATGTAAAGCTAAAAGAAAGAAAGAAAAAGAACCAAAGAAAAATAAATAAAAGTAACCACAGGTTACAATTTGGTATACGTTTCACTTTTATATATTGCTGTAAAAAAAAAAAAAATCCTGACAAAAGCAACTTAGGGGAGAAAGGGTTTTCTTTAGCTCAAAGGTCTAGGCTATAGTCCATCATGGCAGGGGAAGTCAGAGTTGCAGGAGTTTGAAGGAGCTGGTTCCACTGTATCCACAGTCAAACAGTGTAGAGAAATGCATGCTAGTGCTCAGCTTGTTTTCTCTATTTTATACAGTCTGAGATCCCCTGTCCAGGGAAGGATTCTACCCATAGGGAGATGGCCCTTCTCACATCAATTAATGTAATCAAGAGAACCCCCACAGGCATGCCCAGAGGCCCATCTCCCCCAGGTGATTCTAGAGTCTGTCAAGGTAACAATTAACAGTAACAGTCATAGTGTCTGTGCTACTTCCCCTTCTCTGTTCATATTGTATATATTACAGTTAAGATCACATTGTGCACACAATTAGGTTTATCACAGTATTGTACCTTGAGGATTTTTAATACACCATTCTAGAAGTTTATTTAGAACATCAGCCCTGACCTAAACTCTGCCAAAAACTCTGCTGTGTGGATGTTCTAAAATTTATATAACCAGTTCCTGTACTTAGGAGGAAGTGGTAAAAGGTTTTCAAATCTTCATTTATTAGGAATGTTATGATGAACATCTTTTAGAAAATTCTTCTTTTGAATGTTAAATTATTTCCTTAGAGTCAAAGGCAATGAAGATTTCAAGGTTGCTGATACACACTGCCAAATGTGTGTGCACCAGCATCAGCTCAGAAAGCCCTGTTAAAACTGTTTCCAGGAAGATAATGGCAGTTTGTACTTGCAGTCACACATTTAGAGGAGAGGTCTGAAAGGAGAATCCCAAGAAGCTGAAGGGACATCCATTTTTGTTTTTCTCACCTTGTGGGCTGGCTACTCTACATAGGAAGCACAGGGGACTCGGATATGAAACTGACTCCACCCAGAATGCAAGAAGAAAGTCAAGATCCTGAATTCTTCAGAGATCAAATACTCTTGGTACTGAAATCCAGTGGGTAGACAAGGGTTTTAGATCTTAGATGAAACTAGGTCAGAACACACATACACACACACACACACACACACACACACTTTTGTTTAGGGATTTTTAAATTTATTATTTTTATCCTACGTGTATGAGTGTATTGCCTGCATGTATGGAAGGGCACCCATGTCATGCAGTGCTCATGAAGGTCAGAAGAGGGCATTGGATTCCCTTGGAACTGGAGTTACAGATGGTTGTTGGCAGCCATGCAGGTGCTGGGAGCCGAAATTGGGTCCTCTGCAAGAGCATCCAGTGCTCTTAACTGCTGAGCCATCTCTCCGGCCCCCTTTTTGAGAGTACAAAGATGGTAGAACTGAAAATGGAACCATCAGTAGGTTTAAATTATTTAGTACCTCCTGAACAGCTATGAAAGAATCTTTGTCCTGCTCTTGGCATATTGCTTGTATAGTCAAGGAAAAGGTGGTAATCGAATGTTATAATTGTCAAACTCTAGTAAATAGTTTAGTGAAATGGAATCAGATGGTAGGTAGGTGTTGGTGGGTGAAAGATATGTTGAGGATATCAAGATAAATATTTTTGGAGCAACTTCTGCTTGATATTCACAGAAAAAATAGAAAGACAGTATGTTGTTTCATATATTATATATAAAATAAATTATTTAAAAATATTAAAATGGCCATTCTTTGCCTCAATATTCTCCTCTGGAAAATATCTCTTGAGTGTCCATTAGTAATTAGAGAGTGACAGGTAAGAGATTCCACAGTTGACTAGCTTTATATTTCATCTTTTATTTCTTCTTATTATTGTAAAACAGTAGAATCAGCTCTGAAGGAAAAGATACAAGAGGCACTGTGTGCCAATACAAAGACAGAATGCTTTTTAGAGAGCAATTGGCTTTTCATTATAATCTAGTTACCTCAGATGGCATTAGTTGGGAATTTCACCAACAGTTTGAGATGTCAACAACTTTACAATACAAAATCAAAACACACAGCGAGTGATAAGGCAATGCCTTATCAAATCTTACATAGAAAAAAAATCTGCAGATTGCATTTTCACACTGAATATAATGTTGACTCTTAAGGCCTTATGGGTTATAAATGTCAGTGGTATTATTTTGGCTGGTTAATATAAAGACATTTCTAAACTCTACTTCTTCATTCATTGATCCAAAGCAAGTAGGAAATAAGCCACTTTTCTAAGAACTTGGTGTAAATAATCAACCTGAATATGCTTAGTTGCCCAGATATTTTATTTTACCTAGCACGCTTGCTGATTTATCAGATGTTGAACTTGGCGAGGTTAGGATGTACTTTCATGATGCCAGACAGGAAATGATTTGAAAAGGGGAAGATTTCATTAGATCACTTTATCACTGGCATTTTCCACATGAAAAAGAGGTAATGTGTTCCCTTAGTGATACAACCACTGTGAGAGGTCTTCATGTGGCTAGCTGTGCATGTGCACATTTGGCCAGTGGCAAGTATCAAGAGAAACACTATCATTTTGTGTCACTGTAACAGTATATCATTCACAATTTCCAGGCACAGAAGAATACATAGCTCCTCTTCTAAATGTTTATGGTGCAAATTATGCTTACTTATAAATAGTATATAGTGTCAAACATAGATATTGTGCCAAAGATTTATCCCCAATACCAATGTTGCCTTATAAGTAAAGTTTTATGAACTTAAAAAATGATAAAACTTATGCATGATCCTGTTGGAGTCTAAATAACTTCCAGCAACTTAGCTAGAAATTCAAACCCCCAATAGCAAGGTCACTTAGTTTAGAACTATAAGTACCAGAAACCATATACTGCCAGTTTACTTTGAGGCAGCACTCTTATTCAAGGACTTAAGAACCAGGAAACAAGTCAATTAGAACCTGGAGGTGCACAGGAATGGTAATCTTGCATTTTGCTCACTGGGATATCTATAACACTTGGAAAATACCCTGGCATATAGGAACACTCAATAAGTATTTATTGCAATACTTTAATCTGCTAAACCACATCCTAAGAGAGTATTATTAACTTGATACTGCAGGTCAGGCAAAAACAAAATGAGCCCCAAAATCCCTAAGGATTGAAATATTGAAATATTTTATTGTTTTTATTTTATGTGTATGAGTATATTGCTTGCATGTGTATAAGTACATCTGTGTTGTGCAATGTCCACGGAGGTCAGAAGTGTCAGATCTCCTGGAACTGGTGTTATGGATGGTTGTTAGCTGCCACACGGGTACTGGATATTGAACCTGGGTCCTCTGCAAGAGGAGCCTGTGCTCTTAACCACTGAGACATCTCTCAAGCCCCCCAAGGCTAATTATAAAAAGATGAATTAATTATCTTGCAAAGATTATCAAGAGCTGCTAGATCTGGAAGGATGATTTAAAAACAGGCTGTTGGACTAGAGAGATCACTTAGTGGTTAAGAGTGCTAGCTGCTCTTGCAGAAGACCCAGGTTCAAATCCTAGCACCCACATAGTTGCTAGCAACTGTCTGTAACTCCAGTTGCAGGGAATCCAATGCCCTCTTCTGGCCCCCAAGGGCACTATACATACATGGTGCACTTACGTACATGCAGGCAAAACACTCATTCACATACAAATAAATAACATTAAAAAAATTACATTTCAAAACCAGGCTGTTTTAATCCTGCCCCCAAATCTTTAATCTACATTGCAATCATATATACATTTAATGCATATGTAGGTGGGGGTGTACTGGGGATTGAACCTAGGGTCGCATGCATACTAGGCAGGAGCTTTACCTTTGAGTTATATCCCTACCCATTTATTTTTTCACTTTTTATTTTGGCACAAGGTTTCATTAAGTTGCCCAGGCTGGCCTTGAACTTTCAAACATTCTGCGTCAGTCCCAAGTAGATGGGATTACAAGACTGCATCATCAGAGCTATTCTAGAAAAACATTTTTAAAAGATGCTTAAGTTAAATAATCTTTGACTTAATAAACCTATGGTGGTGCATAATTAGCAATTGTGTACACTGTCTTCCAATAGACCAGAACTATTTTTTTTAGTTGAGGCTCAAAATAAACCAAGAGGTCTTCATTGTGAAAAAAGAAAATGAAACAAATGAATTTTGTTATTTCTTATGGCACATTAGCATCTCAATAGCAGTACACAATAAATCAGCTAGCATGAAGTCATGCTCTAATGGCATGATGACAGTTATGGACAACTGGAAGCAGCTCAAGAATGGTCTATTTCCTAATATCTATCTACAATATCTATACATATACAATATAGTATACATGAATGC